GGGTTTGGGGTTTGGGGTTTAGGGTTTGGGGTTTGGGGTTTAGGGTTTAGGGTTTGGGGTTTGGGGTTTGGGGTTGGGGTGGGGGTTGGGGGTTGGGGTGCGGGCGAGGGCCCCACGGCAGTGCGGGGGAGGGGGTTCGCGAGGGTGGGGTTTGGGGTTTGGGAGTTGGGGTTTAGGGTTTAGGGTTTAGGGTTTAGGGTTTAGGGTTTGTTGTGTGTAGGTCCGGGCCATTGAGCTGATGATCGCGGAGGCTTTGAGGGAAGCAGATCCGGTCTTCAGGTGGAGCGAGGCCGTTGACGATGTAAATTAGGGTTTAGGGTTTAGGGTTTAGGGTTTAGGGTTTAGGGTTTAGGGTTTGGGGTTTAGGAATTGCAAATGATAAGGGATATTATAATAGAGAGTATTGTATTTCTATATGAAGTAAAATGCCAGAATAAGCATGCCAAAATATTGAAATTAAATTAAATTAAATTAAATTAAATTAAATAAAAAATAAGTAAAAGATTAAATAAAAACGAATAAAGGTAAATATCAAAGTGATAAGGGAGTGACCCTCCAAGCGGGCAAAGTATTAATGCAAATTGAAAAGGGCAGAAGTTGGGTAAATTTCGGTGAAAAAATCCCAAATTAAGAAATAATGAATTTAATAAGGAATTTAAATAAATTATAAATGCAAATATTGCACAAAAGACGCAATAAAAGGTCTAATTTGAGTAAAACGAAGCTTAATTGTCTGGAGGGGAGGTGAGCGATGCGTGAGCGGGCGCGGGCGCTCGGTGGGAAGTTTGGGCTTGGATCTCGGGCATTTTGGCGCAAATAAAGGAAATAATTGAATAATTAATTAATTAATTAATTAATTAATTAATATTAAACAAAAAATAAAATGTTTGTTGGCTTTTTGGCGCAGATCGAGCAGTTTCTGCTGCTGACGGACGACAGCCTGCTGTACGAGGTGTTGAGACACCCGGTGGCGCGGGGTGTCTGTCCATACACCTCAAGTTCGCTCTCTTTTTCGGAGTTTTGCGCCTTAAAAAAAGCCCACAGTTTAATTAAAAGAGTTACAAGTCACCGGAAAAACAAAAGTATCTTCAGATTTATCAGCAACGCGAACTTTTCCCACCGCCGCGACATCCACCAGACCCGCGGTGTATGTACACCCGAACTCATCGCCAAACTCTCCAACGGCAAAATCAACAGCCAAGACATTGTGCTCGATTGTGAGCTTTTTCTTCACTTTTTGACTTTCTTTTTCTTTCTTTTTCTTTATTTCTCCAATTTATTTCTTTAATTGCCATTTATTCTTTTATTTGGCCATTTATTTCCTCTTTTTCCGCCAACTTTTCGGCCAATCCGTTTCCACCGAGTTCGCCTCTTCACTTATTCAACAACACCCTTTTATCTGTTTCTTTACTCATTTATATATTTATTTTTATTTATTTAATTTATTTATTTATTTTTATTTATTTATTTATTTATTTATTTGTTTATTTATTTATTTATTTATTTATTTATTTATTTATTTATTTGCATGCAGGGCAGCACCTGCACTACGGCACTGGCCCGCAGTCTCCGTTTTCTTGCGTTCGTTTTTATTCTTCTTCAAATCCGACTGTCTCCTTTTTGGCCCCCAGAGACAAACTCGAGGCTTACCCTCTTTACTACGACACCCACCAACTCAGGTGCTGCTGCTGCTGCTGCTGCTGTTGCTGCTGCTGCTGCTGCTGCTGCTGCTTCTGCTGCTGCTGCTGCTGCTTCTGCTGCTGCTGCTGCTGTGGCTGTGGCTGCTGCTGATGCTGTTGCTGCTGCTGTTGATGAGGGTTCTGGACGGGGTGCTGCTGCATGTGCGGACCCGAAATAGCTGCTGTCGCTGCTGCTGCTGCTGCTGCTGCTGCTGCTGCTGCTACTGCTGCTGCTGCTGCTGCTGCTGCTGCTGCAGGGTTTACTGCAAAGACAACTCTAAGGTAGAAGCAGCTCGCGATGCCTTCAACGCCTGGTGCAAATTGTATGGCGTTTTTGAAGAGGTAAAATTAATTAAATAAAATAAATAAATAAATAAATAAATAAATAAACAAAATAAATAAATAAATAAAATAAATAAATAAATAAATGAAAATAAATAATAAATAAATAAAATAGAAATAAATAAACATAATGTAATTTGTAAATTGTGAAAAGGAAGAAAAAAACCGAAAGCATGCAGCTGACAAAACACAAAAACAAATTTATTTATTTTATTATTTCAAGTATTTATTGTTTATTTATTTGTTTGTTTTTATTTATGTTTACATTTAATAGTAGTATTTGCATTTATATTTGTATTTATATTCCTATTTATATTTATATTTATATTTATATTTATATTTATATTTATATTCATATTTATATTTATATTTATATTCATATTTATATTTATAGTTATATTTATGTTTATATTTATATTTATATTTATATTTATATTTATATTTTAAATTTATATCTATGTTTAATATTTATATATATGTCTGTATATTTATTATTTATTCATTACTTTGTAGTACTTGCATTTATATTTGTATTTATATTTATATTTATATTTATATTTATATTTATATTTATATTTGTATCTATATTTATATTTATATTTATATTTATATTTATATTTATATTTATTACTTATTTATCTATTTGTTTATTTGTTATTATTATCTTCTATCTTTTCTTGTCAATTAATTAATTAATTAATTAATCAATTAATAAGTTAATTAATTAATTAATTAGTTAATTAGTTTATTTATTTATTTATTTATTTATTTTATTTATTTATTTATTTATTTATTTATTTATTTATTTATTTATTTATTTATTTATTTATTTATTTGTTCGTTTGCAGCCTGAGGGGGGCCCCGCAGTAGTGCGTTTTAGCCGGGGCCCTTTGGGCCGTGGCTATATAACTCCTCCAATTTACAATTTGGAGTTTTACAAAAGTAATAATAATTATTATAATTCCAATTATAATTATAATTACAATTATTATAATTATTACAACTATTCCAATTGCTTCGGCAGCCCGGCTGCTGCTGCAGTCCGCAGCAGCAGCAGCAGCAGCAGCAGCAGCAGCAAGCAAGCGCAGCCGCTGCAGCGCCTGGCCGTCGCCACTGCAGCAGCAGCAGCAACAGCAGCAACCGCCACTGCAGCAGCAGCAGCAGCAGCAGCAGCAGCTCACTCCCCCCACGAAGTCTCCACGCCCAAGGCAGTTACAAAAAGAATTAAACTTACAGACCCTAATTACTCAATTTAATATTTATTCCAATAAACCCCTTGAGGGGCCCCCAGGGGCCCCCAATGGGGGCCCCCAGGGGCCCCCAGTCCCATGGGCCCCCAGGGGCCCCCAGTCCCATGGGGCCCCCCCTGGGGCCCCCAGGGGCCCCCAGTCCCATGGGGGACCCCCTGGGTTTTTGGGGGCCCCTCTGGGGGCCCCTGGGGGCCCCCAGAGGGCTTTTAGAGGCTGGCAGGGGACCCCTGGGGCGACTTTAGGTGGCATTTGGGGGCCCCAAGGGGGCCCCATGGGGGCCCTCTTTGTTTCCTTTCCTTTTTGTTTTTCTAGGACCCAAAAAGGGCCTCTTTGGGTACTTTTGGGGGCCCCCTGGAGGTATTTTGGGGCCCCCAAAGGGGCCCCCAGAAAAGCTGCTAAAAAACCCTTTAGGGGCCCCCTTAGGGGGGCCCCCCCAATGGGGGCCCCCCAAAAGGGGGCCCCTAAAGTAGTTCTGTCTGTAGAGGGGACACAATATAAAAGGGGCCCCCTGGGGGCCCCTAGAGAGTGCCTTTAAATGGGGGCCCCTAGGGGGCCCCTAGGGGGCCCCCCTGGGGGCCCCCCAGGGGGCCCCCACCCCATGGGGCCCCTGGGGGGGCCCCCCAGGGGGCCCCTAGGGGCCCCCCTAGGGGCCCCCAAGGTATATATATATATATATATATATATATATATATATATTAGAATGGAAAGTAGAGTCCTTGGAGTGTTGAATGAATTGGTTTAGTTTATTGAATAGAATTGAATTTGTTTTTATTTAATTTGATTAATTTTTGGATCAAAAAGAGTTAAAAAAGAAAAAAGAAATAAAAAGACACTTTTGTTTTCTTTTATTCAATTCTGAATTTGCAAACAAATCAAAAAAAAACAGAAACTCTCTTTTTGCATGCAGAAGGACTTTTGTATTTTTTCTTTTTCCATTTTTTTTGCAATAAAACGAAAAGTAAATAAATGAATATACAAATAAACAAATTAAAATTAAATAAATAAATAAATAAATAAATAAATAAATAAATAAATAAATTAATTAAAATTCAAATAAAAGAATCTAAAAGAAAAAGTAAATCTCCAGTTTTGCCTTCATAAGCGAAAAAAGTTAATCGGAGATATAAAAATGAATTGGCTGCAGTTTTTGGTTTTCGCGGTATACGCTCTTTTAGGGTTTAGGGTTTGGCTAGGGTTTAGGGTTTGTCTCGAGCTCCTCCGTGAAGAGGGTTTCGTTTTGTTTTTTCAGCATTTCTTTCAAACCCTAAATCAGTGAGTACTTCTCGAGCTGCGCTTTTCGCTGAATTAGGGTTTAGGGTTTGGCTAGGGTTTAGGGTTTGGCTAGGGTTTAGGGTTTGTCTCGAGCTCCTCGGCGAAGAGGGTTTCGTTTTGTTTCCTCAACACTTCTTCCAAACCCTAAATCAGTGAGTACTTCTCGAGCTGCG